AAACCATGACTATTACAATAAAACAATAAAGAAAGAAATTAAAACAGATAGCCTCCGATTGAACAAATGTTGATGATAACAGGGCAGACTGTAAACAACAGATCTGAATAGTGATATTCACCAAAAGCAGAAGAATAGTCACCAAAAGACAATCTGAAAATAAGTCAAACATTAGTCTGGTTAAAAGTCAAAGTCTGTTGCATCTCAGATTATAATTGACAGTGATATCAAGTGTACTGACACACTGTGAACAACATCTTTACATCAGTGCAACTAGATAGAAACTAGTAAAACCACAGGAGAAGAGTATGGAAACAGATGTTTAGAGGTTGTTCCTTTACTTTCATAAATTATCTGCATTTAGATGATTAATGTCTGTAATCATTTATCATCCACTTAATGCTTATAAGCACCAAACAGAAGCCTCCTCTGAGGGAACATGAAGCCAGTGGAGAGGTGCAAAAAAAATGCTCTTGGCTTAAGTGTTCACTTACAGTTGACTCTCAAAGTTTAAAAAGCTAGTGTGGCCCTCATGGAAAAGGACAACTTTACAGCAACAGAATTTAAATTGTTGATAGTCTGGGGAGAATAAATAAAGAGTGAAATGAGGTCCAAAAGTTCAAGATCTGATTACAACCAGTTATCAACCAGCTTAAGTCACCTGAAAACATCAGTTTGTCTGAAATCACATTTCTGTATTTAAGTTTATCTTAGTTGTTTATTTTAGGGTTAAAAGGAGAACAGAAAATATTATTACACCGTTCATCCCAATTTTCCAGCAGCAGTCGAGACCCCAAAACATAGGTTCACATGTTCCATTTTCATTCGTGATTTATACATTTAAAGCCAACATGTATAAGGAAGGTAATAGATGTAGAGAAAGGTGTTAATCTTAACTGCAAAAAAGAAAAAAAGGCAGCACACGCAGAGACACTCAGGCTATGAAGCTCTTAAAGTTGAAAGACCCTTAAGGTGTGACAAAGACAATTGTTATGAATGGGACTGCGAACTGAAAGAAGTTGATGTCTGATGGTGTTAAGCAGACGGTCTCTGCTGAAGTTGTTAACAGTGACGCGCTATAGTTCAATGATTATAGTTTCAACATAACATAAAATGCATCTGTAAAATCACACTTAATCAAAATGAGTGAAATTGCACAGGGAAATGTGGTCCAAACAAAGAAGTTTAGTCATCAAGTGCAAACCTTTTACTTGTGGTTACCAGTCTCAAATATCTTATCATCATTGGTTATCATCATCTTGTAAGAAAAAATTCTCAGTGAGTGATCAGTAACTACTTAATATTAATATTACAGTAATATTGTGAGTTCATCCTTGGTGTCCTTGATGCTGGTTTCCACATGTCATAAAACAGAGACATTATACAGTGAAGAAGAAGCAGCAGACCGCCTGTGAACTAGCTTAGAGTGAGATTATGATTTTTTTGTAAATCTAAATGCAACATTAGAGCTAGTGTCTCTTCTGGTTACTGATTTATTAAACATTTCTACTATGATTGTTCTTTTAACTATTTTCACTCTGTAACTCTGTAACTCAAGAGCTACTGGAAGTCACTTATACTTAAAAATAAAAGCATAGTATTATAATGTAGGAAATAAAGAAAGAAAGACAAAGTAAAAGTCAAAATAAAAGTGTGACAGACATTTGCTTTATCAGGCACCGTCTGCTCTGAAGGACAGATTTCTTCACAGTGTTAGTGAAGTGGACCTTTTTTTTCTTCTTAGTATATGTTGTTTACCTGCTGTCCCTGACATTTTGGTGAGCGAACAGTGACTCTGCTACTTTCCACAAGCTTTAAGCTCCTCTAGTCCAAGAAAAACAACTCCAGTCAGCCCTCACATAAATAAAATCTCACTCTGTGGAAAACACAAAGGTAAATAAACTCTCTCATTTACTAGCTAATGAACTAGCTGCAGCTGTTAACTGTTCAGCTTTGATGGCTCTGTGTACTTGTAAAGCCCTAGCTCTCTCCACCTCTGACTCCTCGTCTTACAATGAACACTTTTGGCTCCAGAAAACCAACAAGGCTTCATGTACACAGTGTAAAGAGAAACCAAGTGTGACGTCACTGTGGCTACATTAATAACTACTATACTCCATGATTAGCACTGTGAAATATTTTGAGCTTTAATTGCCATCTGTGGGTCCATTTTTCCTGGAAAGTACTAGCATTTCCAGAACGTCTTTTGACCCGTTATTTTCCTTAATTAGCTCATGGTTTTCTCTGCAGTATGGGTTTGAAATAATGAGCCAGATTCAACAACATGCATGTTCCTTCCTGCTGCTGTTCTAAGGTTGACGTTGATTGTGACCTGGTCTGTCTGCTCCCTGTACAGGGTGACTTTGGCTTTGTGCTCCTGGGCTCCTGACTCCTCATGCTTCAACAGCCCTGCTGCCGTGATTGCTAAAACCCCTCAGCCGGAAAAAAGCTTCATTAGACAGGCAAGATAGTTAATAAACTCCGACCCCATGTCTACATCTGACAAGCTGCCTTCACTCCAACTTTCTCTTTTTCCCTCTAAACGATCTTCGCTTTTGGAAACCACCCTTCTTCTCCCTTGTTTGACCACAGCGCCATATGAGATGGCACTTTTTAAGATCGGCTGTCTAGGCATGTCCCAGGGAGCAACAAAGAAAAAAGAAAGTTAATTTTGGTCCTCTGCAGTGAGGCATGTGGCTGTCAAAAACACAGCTTCACTTACACCTTCTGCATGGAGTGATGAAAGTGATAATGACTCCTTTGAGTCTTATTTTGGCTGTGGAAGACTTAGTTCAATTAAAGTCATGTCTCCCCCACAGAGCCTTGCAGTCATGCAGGGATTTTCTTCAATTTCTAGTCACAAATGAGATATTTGTATCTTTAAACCCAGTATCTCCTAAGGTATTTAACATATTCTCTCACAATGATTTAATACCACCACAAACTTGATACCGACTGAATGTGAAGACTGGAGTAGATGTAGCTGAAGAAACTTGGGTATTAAACTGACGTGGCTGTCAGTCAGCAGCAGACTACCAGCTGTGTTAGCAAGGAGGAGAATTATGTGCAAACAGTCTTTACAAGGAGTAAAGAACCTTCTATCGACTGACTGTGAAGGGGAAGATGATTTTTTCACTCCTAGAAATCAATGACTGAGGCTATGATTTAGGAAAACCACCTTTACATCAGTGGCATCAGAGGAAACACAAGGACCCACGCTGAGCTATGGATGCCAAAAACATCAATTTAAAAAGTAAAGAGCCTGTAGGGAGAAAAGAGAAGAATACAGAGAGGGTGCAAAGTCAGGCTGACATCACAGAAAGCAGTGGGATGAGAAATTATGTTAACCCCTTACTCCGTCAGATATTCATGCACTTTTTTAAGGTTATATTTTTTAATCATGCTGCCGTCAAAAGGAAAAAAAGCCTAAATGGAACTTAAGGAAGCTGCAACATCCAAGGCTGCGAGAGCCGAGGTAGTGTGGACTAGTACGAAAAAAAAAATAGTTTGATGGTATCTCAGCTCTAAAATATGTTTATTTGAAATGTCTAGGACACGTTTTTCTGTTGAAATGTTTTTTAAAAACTTGTGAATTTGTGTATTCAGTGTGTGTTGGGATGGGGTTTGACAGCTCATATCATATCATAAATTACTCACAAATTCCAAACAGTGAATATAACATTGGATTAACAGTTAGATACAGGCATGTACTCTGCACAGGTTTTTAGGAGTTTTTTATTAAAGGTTGCTGAGGATACAACAGACCTGATGGATAGTGGGAGTTGATGCCAGAGAGAGGGGGCATAGACAGCAAAAGCACGATCGCCTTTTGTCTTACAGATGGTCCGAGGGTTTAAAAGAAGGCTGAGGTTAGAAGACTGGAGTGGGAGAGGAGAGGAATATGGGATGAGGTCAGAAATGTAACTGGGGGCTGGACCATGCTGTGCTTTGTAAGTGATTAACAGGATATTGAAATTAATTCTGAATTTTAACCAGGAGCTGGAGGAGAGGTGCAAGAAAATGAGACATATGGGACTAAACGGCTGGTTTGAGTTAATATTTTGGCAGCTTCATTTTTGGCTGTAGTGATGATTGATTCAAGCAGGTATAAAGGGAATTACAATAATCTAATTGGGAGAAAATGGAAGTTTGTATTAATGTTTCAAGGTCTGTGAAAGAGAATAAAATTTGTGAGCTGCTGGGAACAGTATTGAACAAGTTTGATGATGTGAAGGTCAAAGGTCATTTACTGATCAAAAATGATACCAAGATTTTTAGCAGATGGATTGATATTTGATTGTAGTGGACCAATAAACTGATGAAAAGAGGTGATAAAGGTGTCTGGGCAAGTAAGACAGAAACTATTAGTAGTTTAGAAGCCGTGAATCTTTCAAACTAAAGCATACCTTGAACTTTGTTACCAGCCCATGCGCACAAGATGACGAAAAGATATACAGTTCCTTGGGTGGCCACTTGAGGCTGGCTCCAAAAGTGAGTCAAACCCATGATTAGACCCATACTAAATGTGCAGCTTTGTGGTGGCTATGATGTATTATGTATACTCTACTCAATTCTCAGTAGTAGATAAGTGGTTGTAACTAAGGCTGCACGATATTGGAGAAAAGATAACATTGCAATTTTTTTCAACCCCGCGATATATATTGCGATATAAAAAAAAATGCAGTAATTTCCACCAGATGACTTGAATAGCACTTTATGTTATGCTGCACTGCTGAAATCTTGAAGACAGATAACCTGCACTGATCTTACCTCATTTTGTGAATGTTTGTAGAGTGGCTTCAGTCTGTCTCAGAGATCTTTTTAGCTTTTACTGTGCTGGGACATTATTGTGGCAACAGATGAACACAGAACCTGTGTTTGGTCAACATCATCTATCTTGTAACCAAAATAATTCCAGATAAGTGACATTGCTTTTCTTTTTGCCAACAAGTCTTCATTTTCAGTGGTTTTCTTTTGTTCCTTGCTCATTTTGCAATTGTTGTTATTGTTACCAATGTTGTGCCGAGAAACGCATGCCCGTCGAGGATTGCATGCAACTCATGGAAATGCGCACCAGTTATAGTAGAGTGGTCCATGTTAATGTACAATTTAAAACCCATTTAATTTTTATTTGTGGGGCTAATGAGTGATGAGTAATGTTCTGAATGTAATTCTCGGGGGTATGCGTTTCTCGGCACAACACGGGTAGCCCAGTGACTCCCTCCATGTGCAGGCCATGTGCAGGGGTGTGGTTTCCTCCTCTCTGATTTTGATTGACAGCTGGTAGGGTAGTCTGATTGGCAACTGAGTAAAGAAAAAATGTAACTGAGCTGCACAGCACATGCAGAGTCACATGCAGTGTATCTCAGTCAGCTACCCTTAAAATTAGATTAGTTCATTCACCTGCTACATCGCAGGCTCTGCAATGTCACTATCGGGCACACGTACATTGTGACGACGATGCTCAAACGATATATTGTGGAGCCCTAGTTGTAACCTATCCTTTTGTTGTTTTCTGAAGAGTTGAGCTACAAAGTCAGTCCTTAACGTTAGCACTAGCGACCACATGCCTAAAATGTAGCAGTGTGGAAATATGTTAAACTAAAAAGGAAAACAGTCCGGAAACCACCTGAATGTGCAACACAATAGTTAGTGGTGGTAGGAGCCAATCTGTGTCAAACCCAGCCAGTTGCTCATCAGAGGAAAAGGCTGCGGCATCGAAGGGAAGGACTGGTCTTAAATGAAAGGATCAATATCCTGGAAGCAGCTTAAAGCCTCTATTTTATGATAAAGTAGAAATGAAGTAATTGGACAAATACAGTGAGAGAGCAGCGATTAGTTAAATGTTACCGTTCTTGGTCTTGCAGCTGGGCGTCACCATTGTGAATCTTTGACTGTCACGTAAAAGTTGTGTTCCTAGCGGCATTGCTTTGATGCTTTTTTTTAGACAAGCTCGGCACTTTCACAGCAGAGCATAAAAAAACAGTTATGTGTGACTTCTACAACAATACCAGCTGAATAAGTTAGATGACATAAATTCAAGAAGTCACCTTTTAGTTAATCTATTTAAAACCACAAAAGCAATGAACTGCGGCTAATAATCCAGGCAAATGTTTTTTTTCAGGTCAAGATTTTGACTTTTGTGCTCCACCTTCATGTAGCTACAGTAAAATAACTGGATTGGAGTATCCAACCTCCGTGGTGTTCAATTTGCTCAACATTTTCTGTTCATATGAGCCTTTGATATTGATGGCATTTATTTTGACTTTCTGTGTGGTTCATTAGTGAGTAAGTTGATGTTGGTCAGTGCTGCTTATTATTCAGGTGCATTTTAATCTGATTAGAAAAATGACCTTCTTTAGTTTTTTTTAACTACTTTAAATGATAACCCTCTGTCCTCTTACTTTATCCTGTAGCACCAAAACAAGGACAGCACCATACCAGCATTTGTGCTGAATAAATAGCTGCATACTCTTTTGAAAAGATACTTTCTTAATTTGCCTGATTTCAAAGGACAGCCCGCTGAGTAACGTTGGAGAGAGCTTTGCAGTGAGTATTTGCTGTCCCTTGTAAATGTGCAGCATGTCCTTAAGCCCTTTGCTTCCCTATGGTGCTAATAAGGTTAATTGAAAAAGCATCTGCATGTACTATGAGTTATCTGTCCTTGCAGCTCTTAATTAATATAATTTGCCCGCTCTATTGATCTTTCAAAAACACCTTTGTAGTTTTTCCTCAGATGAACATGCACTCTGCTCTTCACTTCATATAGACACAATGCTCACATTAATAAAATGTTATCTGAAAACACCTGACATTTGCAGGCTCTCAAAATATGAGCCTGTCTAGTTCAGCCTGTTCAAAGGAGTTATCAGCTCTTTTTACTGCTCTGGTTTTGTTATTCAGACGTACATGCTTTTAATGTTTGACAAAAGCACAGGTCTGAAGAAAACACAGAAAGAGGAGGTTTTAGTGAGTTTCGTTTTATTTGGTTTAATTTTACTGACATTGTGCAGTGACCCATGTTCAAGCTGAACAGTACCGAAACTTGTAACAGACTTTCCTGCACTGGTATAACATCTCTTATACCAAAACTGCAGCCGATAGATGAATCACAGGAGAATTATCATAGAAAATCAGGTTTTCTCTTCTTTTGGGTTTCAAGAGGACTCCACTGCACCTTGACATTAAAGCTTAAACTAATGCTCATTATTTAAGATAAGATAAGAGTAACTGTATTTATCCCTGAAGGGAAACTTTAATGTCTGTAGTGTCATTTGTCATGTCTCAAAAAGTCATCTACTTTTTATAAAAGAGTTGTAAAGTCTGATAGCTGTGGGTACAAAAGATCCTCTGAATCTCTCTCTCCTGCAGCGAAGAGAGAGGAGCCGTCCACCACCATCGTCCCTTTCGTCCATTAAGGTGTTATGAAGTGGATGATCCATGTTCTTTAGAATAGTTTCCACCTTCCTCGGTGTAGATCACTCCGCCACATTCTCCAGGAAGTCTAACTTTAATCCAACCACAGAGCCAGCTTTTTTAATCAGTTTGTTCAGATGTCTTGCATCTTTGTGTTTGACTCTGCCTCCCCAGCAGACTGCAGTGTTGAACAGACCACTGTAGACTGATAAAACATCTGCAGCATCTTACTGCAGATGATTTGTGGATTAAGCACAGAATTTTACTTATTGGACAAATTAAAATTACTTTCTACAGTTTTTGTTATGTTCTCACCTGGATCATAAATCGTAAAAGGATAGAGATGCACTTAAACCTGCATGATTTTGTACATGGTGAAGAAATAAGGATGACCACACTCTCTCAGCATACAATGCAGCCTGTAGAATCAGATGGTTTTGAGCCTGGTGCTTGAATAGTCTAAATGTGCTGAACTGAGATGGCATTTACATTGAGGCATCCTTCGAGGGCACTCTGTGCTCCTAGCTTCATATTGGACGTCTGATTTCCCAGTATTTGACACAAGAAATACAGACCTACAGAATAAATTAGATTTAGGCAGCAGGGAGCTCTTCAGATGGTAAAAAAAATCCTCTTTATTATCTCCTGTCTAGAGCTTTGTGCAGAACTTTTCAGCAGCTTTTGGTGCTGGGTGTTCCTGGTTGACTAAACTGAGTTAGTAACATGACAACATTGACATGTAACACCTGAGACATAACACTTTAGAAACAGGAAGATGATACGCTACAGCGAGACCAGAAAATAAGGGAAATGATTTGAAGTCTTCTGTATTACACTGCCTCCTTGAAAGGCCAACCATCTTCATATCACAGGATGAATGTCTCACCTATTAGCTCGACACTTAAAGAGGAGAGAAATCTTTTGTGCTCTGGTGCATCCTCCACTGCCTCGCAGGTGAGCCTGCAGTTTTATTGTCATTGAAGAAGAAGAAGACAGCAGTTCTTCACACAGCCTTATTTTCTTTTCTGTTTTGCTATTTATGGCGGATAATCTGAAATTTTGGACACCATGTTTTGGCATCATGACTGTCTGCTCAAGAAGGTCTCCATCTCCATTACTGTAGAAAACCACCCCTGCATTCATTTGCCAAGGTCAATAGTGCTATGCAATGGCCATGCAACAGTAAGAGCGCCCCCTGCTGCATCAAACAGCAAACTACTGCAAGTGGCCTGATGTGTTGATCATTACAACTGATGCAGCAATTTTTTCTGCACAGGTAATCCACGGGAATTAAAAGGAGTATAAATGAAGAATCAGCTTGATAAGCTGAAGTGATAAAGGTGCCAGTATCAGTCAGAACAAATCAATGCTCATCCATAGTCACCAGTCAATACACTGTAGCCCTGCAGAAAGTACAGGTTTTTAAAATATATTTTTACAGGAGCCTTTTAACGACAATGTTTTTTATGACTTATACCAGGGGTGTCAAACTCAATTGCACAGGGGGACAAAATTCAAAACACGCTTCAGGTCGCGGGCCGAGCAGAATAAACATTTGTTGAACACACTAAAACAAAATGTTTTTTTAACACAAATATGAAAACAAACAGACAGGAATTTTATTCTGGAATAAATAAACTTAAATTTAAAATAACTTAAAATGTCTTGCTCTCCATAAAAATATATCCAGTCAAAATTATATAAGTTATATAAATATATATAAAATAAATATGAACATGCTGCAAAAAAATGCCTGAAAAAATAAAGAAAAATTGTTACAGTGCTTGTGCTTTAAGTAAAAAACGTCTGCTGAAATGTCAGCTTCTTCTTTAACTCTTCTACTTTCTGTATCTTCTGCTCTGCATTCAGGTCTTTCAGGTTATCCTGATGTTTTGTCTCATAGTGCCGTCTTAGATTAAACTCTTTAAGTACAGCCACATTAGCGCCACAAATGAGACAAACGGGCTTACCGGCAATGTCAGTGAACATATACTCAGCCTCCAGGCGATTATGAAAGGCTCTGTTTTCAGAATCAACTTTTCTCTTAGGCATCATGAGGGGCTAGCTTCGCAGTAACTAGCAGCAACAGGCACTTGAGCTGATTGACTCGGAAAGCGCTCGGCAAGGCAGCTGAAGCGCTGCATTATGGGATCTGTAGTTTATTGTGTTACCAGCGCTTTATACCGTCGGGCCATTCGTAACAATAATATAAAATGATCTCGCGGGCCGGACATAATTGCATGCCGGGCCGGATGTGGCCCGCGGGCCTTGAGTTTGACATATATGACTTATACCAATATGTGAGTTAACGTGATGTTAGCAAATTGCTACACTGCAGTGCGAGCACAAACAAAACATGACCTTGTTAGTGAGAGCAAAGATGGAAAAAAAAATGTCAAAAGGTTTGAAAGTTAGAGCTAAGCTAAGAAAGAAAAAGAAACCTTATTGCATACAAATTCATTGAATGTGGACATACAAGGAATTTGAATCTCTATGTACAAACATTTGACATTTAAATGTGAAATATTACAAAAATTACAAAATATGTAAACGCTTGAACCTGACATTTAACTTATATAAACAAGACTGTTGTGGCAATAGTGCAATGGTGAGGAGTGCTGTGGAGTGATAAGTGACTAAAAAATACATATTACAGGTGGGTTACGTACATGAGGTATATGTTGTTGTAACTAAAGTATTGACATTAAATATTAAATATTGGCATGCAGAGGTCCATGTCAGATGAGAGGATGAAATCAGCAGTTAGAAAATGTGGGGAGTAGTTATCACAGTAGTTATAATG